TCTAATATTTTGTTAAAAAATTTTTTGAAAATTAAAAAATCCTGTACAATAATATAATAAATTTAAAACCATGTTCAATCAGCAGTATAATATTCATTCCCACACATATATAACACATATATTTTAATAAAAATATCCCAACATAATTAAAATTATTTATACAACACACACCATGATAAATATTGTTTATACAACACACACTCATTGTTTTCAAATAAAATTATTTATACAACACACACCATGATAAATATTGTTTATACAACACACACTCATTGTTTTCAAATGAAAAAAACAAATCAGTCCTCTTGATCATCATCATCATTATTCTCCTCATTACTAGCTCCACCTTGTCTAGAAGTCCAGGCCTGCAAATATAAATCAAACGTTAACAACATGGCATGACATGCAAGTATAACAATAAGAGAGAGTATCACGACATACTAGATTTGGATTTCGAAATGTATAAGAAAATACAAATATGCAAACAACTACTTTGAGAACAAATTATGGCAAGAAATACCGAGGACATTTATTGTATCTAGAATTTACAATATAATAGTCTAAAATACCAATTTAGCCTATAAAGTGACACACTGTGATCAATAAGGCCTAATAAGTAATGCTAGAGACAATAAAACTTATAAGTTGACACAATTAACCACTTAAACCTTATTCGATCATTGAAATTTTGGTTTGATTGTGAAAAAGTATAATTGTTTTTACATATATACCCCTTATATCTCTCACACTTACACATTTACCCTTCAAATTTTATTTTTATTTTAATAAAATCCTCTTTCTTACTCCATATCTCTCACACTTACACATTTACCCTTCAAATTTTATTTTTATTTTAATAAAATCCTCTCCCCCCCCCCCCCCCCCCCACATCACTCTCTCTCCCCCGTCATCATTGCCTTCATCCTTTTCTTATCCCCTCTATCACATCCTCTGTTAGTCTTGTTAGGTCTTATGTTTATGAGCCTACTCCTTAATCTTATTTTGATAATCACAAACAATTCCTTACAATGTATGTCGAGTATTTGCATTTGTTTTGTTAGGTAATCTACACAAATATCCAAATTAGAGGTTGGATGGATTGAGCCTTTACGATCACATCAAATGGAGGATTGGCGGAATAGTGGAATGAAGCCTATGCATACTAGTCAAGATCCAAGTTCAAGCTTCTTCCATGTTTTCCAAGACAAGCTACAATAAAGATTTACCCAGTTTGGGTAAATTAGTTTAGGGTTTATACTTTTGTGTGTTAATACCTTAAGCTCGATATTATACACACATAATTTAATGGTTTATGTGTTTTATCCACAAAAGTTTTTGCAAACAAATAGATATATAATACTTATTTGTTTTATATGTGGACAAGTTGTTTTGGTTTAGCTATATAGATACGAAGCAACATATATCTTCATTTTTCATATTTATGTGCTTCATATTCTATTGAAATTTGTAAAATATTATATTTATGGATTGAAGACTTATTTACACTATTTTCATATCTTGTATAAGTCTATAAATCCATTCTAAAGTGTTTCAAAGTTTTGTTTAAGTCATTCTGACAAAATCAAGTTTTCAACATGTTCATACTTATGTGATTTTGCAAAATGATGAGATTTTATAAATGTGGAATGCAAATTAAAAAATTCTTTTAATAACATGTTCATTATCATGTTTACAATCATTTCCAAAGTTTTATATTTTTCTGAATTTATTTGATATTTTTAAAAGAGGTTTGAATTTTGTTTTTACTATTCAATCATTTCAGACCGATAATATGTTATCAGTCGACTAATGACATCAGTCGACTGAAGAATGTGCCTACAATCTTTAAAAGTTTCTGTTCTGTTTTGGTCGATTGACCAGTCGACTGATGATCCATCAATCGACTGATAAAGATAGTCACAACGGTCAGCTCATCAGTCGACTGATAAGTCATAACGACTATATTTCCAGCTTGGTTATTTTATCATTTTTGCTGGTTTTGCTTGGGGTTTGTGCCTTGGTTTTTCATCCTATATATACCCTATATCATTTCACTTCTGAACTAAGAAGAGGATGTTTTAAAATAAGTTAAAAAAGAGTTTTAGTTTATTTTAAGTGTTTGTTTACAAAATCAGTTTTCGTGAAGATTGTTTTACAAAAAGAGGAGATCAATTTCAGCTTGGGCTTTCAATCTTCCAATCCCTCTCTCTTGTTATTAGAGAAGTGTTTCTAAACTTATATCTCTAGCTTGTTTATGCTTAATTGTTATATTCATATTTGCTATATTTATTTAAGTTTATACTTGATTTTCTTATTGCTTGCACACACAACCATTGAGCTTAAGTATTTTCACATATTGTATAATTTGGGGTTGTGGTGAGTGTAACCTTGAGAGTGAATCTAAATTGTGTTCTCATCTATTATAGAGAACAAATATTGTAATTGAGTCTTACTGTGAGAATATCACTTTGTAATACACATTTACACCAAGAGGAGTGTGTGGTGAGGACGTAGTCGATACCAAGAGGAGTGACGTCGGTAATAAAGCCTAGAGAGAGGTAGTAAAGTCGAGCACTTGAGGGAGGTGATACGTGAGGACCAACACTTGAGGTTGTAGTTTGTGTATGTACATTGTGAGTGACTTGTAGAGTTTTCGGTGAGCTAGAAAACCGAGTGTGTAGAGAAGTTCTGGCTTCCAAACCTGGTGTGTCGTGATAGTGGATTATCCCCGAGAGTGGGGAGCGGAGACGTAGGATGGAAGGTTTGAACTCCGTGATCATATTATTGTGTTTGGATTGTTCTTTGTGTCCACTATTTGTTTACACTATCACTCTTATTTATTTTCTCGTGTGTTTATATTCTTGCTCATATTGCATTGTATATCTATATTGCAAGAATAATTTGTTAATAAGTTTTAATCGCTATTTATAGCTAATAAGATTAGCAATAATCCTATTCATCCCCCCCTCTAGGGTGTTTTCATCCTCTCCACTTTCCTCCTCCCCAAAATACTTCCTCTCCCATTGTCTCTTTCCCAAAACACACACACACACACACACACTCTCACCCTCTCTCTCTCTCTCTCTCTCTCTCTCTCTCTCTCTCCCCCATCATCATCTCCTTCATCCTCCTCTTCTCCCCTCTATCTTATTCTCTCTATTTTCCTCATTCTCAAAATATTTTCTTCCACATTTTCTCCTTCCCAAAACTCTCCCTCTCTCCCTCCCTCTCTCCACTAACTACTTCATCCTCTCTCCTTTCTTACTCCCTCTCCTCTTTCTTCCTTTCCAAAATCATCATGTTCGCCTTCTTCTCTCCCTCCTCCACCCATGTTCCTCTCCTTAACCTCTCTCTATCCTCTCATCTTAGTCTTCTCCTCTCCTTCCCTCCTCTCCTTTCAATTCTCTCTCTCTCTCTCTCTCTCTCTCTCTCTCTCTCTCTCTCTCTCTCTCTCTCTTCAAACACTAACTTAAAAAGTGGAGAAGTGAGTGGAGGAGGAAAGTGAGGGAAGTGGGGAGAGAGAGGTTGAAAATAAAGAGAGAGTTAGGTATTTATATACAAATATTTTAATTTTGAGGATAAATTTATAAGTGTGAGAGATATGAGGTGTATATATGTAAAGTTTTATAATTTTCTTGCACAAATCAAAATTCCGGCGACCGAAGTAGATTTAAATGGTTAATAGTGTCATTTATAAGTGTTATTGTCACATGCTTCAATTTTTAGACTTTATTGATCAGAGTGTATCACTTTATATGCTAAATTGGTGTTTTGGCCTTGTAGGATTGAAATTTGAGTGTTGCTTCGGTACACCAATAATAGTCTTTTATCTAATAATTATTTATTTTTTATTCAAAGGGTAATAAGGTAATAGCGTTGCTTCAGTGCTCTCAAAATTATTTATTGTTTATTTTTTCTCAAAAGAATAATATTGCAGATATTCCTTTCTCAATCCTTCACCCAATTAATCACAAGAACTTGCGTGCTCTCATCTGATTATCCACTGATTCAAAGCCATGATAACAATTCCATTGATCATGAGATTTCGATGATGGATGAAGTTCTAAAGAAGAATTTTTTTTTTGAGAAAGTTGGTGAATTTCTCGTATGACGATGAACAATTATTATCCATGGCGTGTTCGTTGAAGATGAAGCCGAGTGGAGAACTAGCTAGGTGGACAAAGCCATGGGAAAACTTAATTGAATTAGTAATTCGCCCCACCATTGCATACAATATGCAAATTATTATTAGGACGCTAGCTACCACCAATCATATTTATTTACCCATGAATCCCACAGAAGTAAATTTATGGAAGAAATGAGTGGAATGAAAGATTAGTAATAGGATCAATTGAGCAAATGGCAATTGAGTTCTCAAAGATACCGATAATAACCTTGTATAAAAAAATGGAAGAGAAGAGAAACAGGAGTTTTGTTTAGGGTAAAAAGTTACAATTAAATTGATAGCAAAATCAACAACAATGATCTTAAATTTATAGCAAAACCATCTTTTTGAAGGGCCGAGTCCAGAGGAAGGAGGAGGGCTGAGTTAGGTGAAATACGTAACCGCCCTTGATGATGCAAATAATTACAAAAAAGGGTGTGGTACTCTATTTTTTGTGGGAACCGAATTAACCGGGCGAGTGAGAGCACAAATTACGGAGATTAATTACAATTCGTGACATCGGTACTCCCAAAATTATTTTCGGAGTACCGAAGCTGTTGGCTTGAAATTTCAGGAGGATGCTACGTGTCAACGTAAGCCTAAATTGGATTTAGTCCAAGCCAAATCGGGCTAATAGTTATAGAAGGCAACATATTCATGCGAAATTAAAACAAGAAATAACTCCTCCGATCTAATCAATACACCGGGCGAGGCCCATACAAAGGCCAGCCCGCTGGCGATCGAATAAATCGCTAACCTCTCCACTCAAAACCCGGACTCCAAAACCATCTATAAACTCCAGCTCACCATACCCCCGTTGACATCC